CATGTATATCATAGCTGCGGCTATTCAGAGTTATCTCTCTCGAGACTGCCCTATAGCGTCTAATCTGAACTCTAATGGCTCTTGGGAGTCGTTGACTTGTCGCCGCAGTGGTTCTCAATTGCGTTACATCTCTTCTAGTGCGGTTTTAATAAAAGTATATAAACAAAATTTTACTTTTCTTTCAGAATTTCATCTGTTTACATTATTTTAATATCAAATTCGTTTCGATGTAATGGATGTAATTCACAATTCTTCTTTTCGTCTCTCTCTCTCACGTGTCTATCTATCTATCTTTCTATCCTTGACTCAAATAGTGGATTCAGTGTCGCGGAAGAAAAAATTTTTCAACGGTGGCGAATTGATACCTTAAAATGATATAGCGGGACGATGCACTGAATTGTATGATATCAGTCGGGATGATATCCAGTAGAGCGCAACTGAAGCAGCAAGTGGAACGAAAAAGCAACAAATATTCCTTGTATGTGTGTATGAAAAAACCTGCCCTACCTGTTCAACATAGAAGAGGTGAAGCTTCAAGTGTTTGTGTTCATACTGAACATCACATCCCCCAACAACAAACCAACATATATACAATATCCAAACCCATTTATAAACACTCACACCTTTCCTTTCGATTGGTTTCACGGACCCATGATTTATATGCTAATCCCAAGTGAAATATGAAGCTAACTCTGATTTTTAATCAACTTTCATATAAATACGTATATTAAGACAGACATTTGGAAAGATTAGGAAGAGGGACAAAGTTGTATTACTTTACAATGTTTGCTAATATTCCTTGGGAGCCTTTACGTACTTTACAAAGAAGGCATCTTTTTAAGATACTATGGTAGTCATCTTCTAAGTTGTTTCGAAAAAGTTATCAAAAGCATCTTAAAAATGCATTCATCTAAAGATGAATCCATTTCTCGATTCTAAAGTTAGGATCGAGAAATATGAGATGTTTCAAATATCTGAAATTTACTACAGTGCATTTTAAGATGATTTCCTTTACAGTGTCATGACTCGAACTAAATAGGTCCGTAAAAGTTCATTTTTTTAAAAAAGGTCCGTAAAGTCCGTAATTTGATTGAAAAAGCAATAAACTTTCTTAAATTCAACGATATAATTTGGAGAATTTTTGAAAAGTTCCAAATAAAAAATTCAATGCAAACATTAAATTATTTTCAAAAGCAATGATCCTAAAGTTCTGAACGTTCAAATGAACGAAATTTAAATGTATTCTTTCTTCAAATTAAATTTTTATAACAAAAACTTTGCGTCACTATAAAAAAAATTTAATAATAAAGTTTTTGCATTTAAAATTTAATTTTTTAATTTTAATTCAAATCAGTAATTTTTGAAAATATGATTAATAAAAAATATTTCCTTCATTTGAACGTTCAAAACTTATGTAAATCATCAAAAGTATAAATAAAATTCTTTCCAGAAATTCAATTATGTTCAAGAAAATTTTTAAAAACTACCGTCAAAATTTCAATTATCTTTATAAATATTAAAATTCTTCTCCGAAATTCAATATTATTGTCAAAAATATTAATAAAATTCTTGAAAAAATTCAATTATCTATATTAGAGAAATAACAAAATTCTTCAAAGATATTCAATTTATTTTTATAAATAGTCTTAAAATTCTTTGCAGAAATTCAATTATTTTTAATACAATTTTAATAAAATTTCATTAAAGAATTCAAGATTGAAAACAAATTTTTAATAACATTTTTCGAAAGAATCAAATTATTTCCTAAAATTTTAATAAATCCTTCGAAACAATTCAATTATTTTTATAAGTATAGTAAAATCCATGTTAAGAATTAATATTTTTAATACAAATTAATATTAAAAAATTCGATTGTATTCAATAAATTAAAGAAATTTTTCGAAAGAATTCAATTATTTTCTAAAAATTTTAATATAATTCAAGAATTAAAAAATAATGTTTAATTTCAATTACTAAGAAACACGATTATTGTAAAAACTTGAAAGAAATTGTTCATATAAAATTCTATTACTTTGAAAATTTTCAATTAAAATTATTTAAAAAACTCAATTATTTTTTAAAAATTTAAAGAAATTCTTCCCAAAAATTCAATTATTTCCGTAAATAATAAAATTCTTCGAAGAAATACAATTATTATCAAATTTTTTTAATAAAATTCTTTGCAAGAATTCAGTAATTTACAAATTTTTAAAAAAATTTTTTGCAATAATCCAATTTTTTTCATAATTAATATAAAATTTTTACAGGGATTCAATTATTTTCGTAAATATAATAAAATTCTTTTAAAGACTTTAACTATTTTCATAAAAAATATCACAGGAATTTAATTATTTTCAAAAACAGTTTTCATAAAATTTTTCGAAAAAATCGATTATTTTAAAAAAAGATTTTAATAAAATTCTTCGCTAGAATTCAATTATTTAAGTACAAAAATTAATAAAATCTTCGTAAGAATTCAATTATTTTTGAAAATTTTAATAAAATTCGTTGCTTGATTTTAATTATTTTTATAAATATTAATAGAATTCAAGAATTAAAATAATGTTATTTATCAAATTTTTTGATAAAATTTTTTGCAGGAATTCAGTAATTTATAAATTTTTCATCAATTTTTTTGCAATAATTCAATTATTTTCATAATTAATATAAAATTCTTTCCAAAAATTTAATTATTTTCGTAAATAATAAGATTTTACCATGAATTTAATTATTTTCAAAACAAACACAATATTCATCAAATTTTTCGAAAAAAATCGATGATTTTTACAAAATTGTTCGTATGAATTCAATTATTTAAAAAAAATTTGATAAAATTCTTGGAAAAATTTCAATTATTTTCATAAATAATAAAACTCATTGCAGAATTTCAATTATTTTTAATATACAATTTTCATCAAATTTATCGAAAAATTTAATTATTCTTAAAAATTTGTTAATAAAATTGTCTATGAGAATTCAATTTAAAGAAACATTCAATTATTCAATAAGTTATTAATTTTTGTATTTAAATAATTTTGTATTTAAATTCTGAAAAGGTTTAAAATAAAAATCTTTGAAAATTAAAATTTTGCCTAACAATTCTGTGAAATTAATTTTTTTTCAAAAGGTTTAATTGAATTTTTTTAAAGAAATTTTTGGAAGTTGTTATTTTCTAATATATATTTAATTGAAGAATTTTCGAATAATTGGAATTTCATAATAAAACTATAAAATCAAATATTGGCTGTAAATTATTTTCATAATTCTAAGGGATTCTCTATAGAGGGCAATTTGGAGGAAATCATTTCAAGGGAGATGATAATAAACAAATTGTTTTAAAAAAAATTTCATATTATCAGAGTGTGTAATAAATTTTATTCGATTTAAATTTTATTCAAGAGTAATTGACGTTGTTACACTTGTATAATCAAAAAGGAATCGTATTGATTGGCAATATAAATATATGTGTGCAATCGGATCAGTATGATGTATGGATTTCATTGGGTATTTGGTTACCAATTATCAATGCAGCATTTTCCCAAATGGCTGCCGGTTTAGTTATTGGTGAAAGTACTTTTTGTATACTATTCTAAATTCCTCCATACTGTTTGCATTATTGCTTTTCATCTAATTCTCCTCTTACTTCTTTGTCTTGTTTCATTTTCTTTATTTTCCTTCCTCATCAGGAAGCATTCGAAAACAATTTGAAAATTATATTCATGTCACGAACATTTTTTGTTTTTTTTTAAGAAGAAATTTGTTTATTATCCTGAGAAAGCTATAAATGGCCATGAAATAACTTGTTTTCATTTTCATTTTTTCTTTTTCATTTTTCGAAATACCTTCGAGGTTTGAAGTTGCTTTGGACATTTTTCGAATAGAAAACTTAATGCAGACAGGAACAAAATCGTTTTTAATTATTGAAGACATTAGCTTCGAAAGAACATTAAAGTTAAGTAGTTTAACATCAGATTTTAATGATTTAGAAAACATACTTTTACAAGTGACTTCATATTTTCTTAGTCTTTTAATAATTTCTGAAATAATGTAAAAGTGAATATTTTGTTACTTTAAATAAATAAAAATATTATTCCATTTTCATTTTAATAAAAAATTTTTTTTCATTTTCGAATAATAAAAACAAGAGAAGAATTACTTTTCTTTGGCGGAAGTACATTTTACTTTTAAAAAATATATGAATAGAATAAAATATAAAAGAAAAAGAAACAAATTATTTTTCATGAATTTTGTTAAAATTATAACATTATCTTTTATTAGTTTTTTTTTAATAACAGGAAGGAAGATTGAAATTCTTTATCACTCAATGAAAGTCTTTTGAAACTTGGTAAGTTGTGAACCTCCGGTTAATTTAGAATATTACAATGAATTAATCCACGTTTTATCAATGCAACAAAGAAAAGGGGGTATTTATACTCACAGATTAAAATAAACAAATTTTGAATGTTCACTTAAATTAATCATTTGATTTCTTGCAACTAATAATTATTAACTAATCGCTCATTTCTTTCATACACAATAGTTATCGATTTTGAATTTTAAACATCGATAATTTTCAAAAATGATTTAAAGAAATATTTTTTTTTTATTCAAAATAAAAACATCAAACAAAATAATTTCTTTGCATTTTCTCAGCTTTTTCTTCGTTTTAAAGAAATTTTTGCTTTTAAAGATATTTATTAAAAAAACAAAACTAATTTATTATAAATTTACTAATATCTATAAAATCGAATAAGATAGGGTTATGAAGCATATCCGAAAGGATTTTTCACTCGATTGTCGAATTGGTGTCATCAGATAAAAATCAGTTTTGATCTCTTCAGAAGATTCGGAAGATTCATATAACATATACATTTATCACTATCATACCGAATTTAAAAAAAAAGTTTTAAAAAATAAATAAATTCCATTCAATTAAAAAGTTTTTAAACTGAAAAACAATGTTCCTGGAAAAAATATGAAATTAAAAAACCAAAAATCACCTGATCATCAGAAAAGACGCATTTAACGAAAATCCAATGGTGCGCCTTTACTGTACAATTGCATCCGTTCATTGCGCATATTCCAGCGGGTTTTAAATTTTCTGCGCGCACACTGCCTGGAATTGATAAATAAAAACACAGAAACAACACAAAAGAAAACACCAATTCACAAACACCAAATTCACTTTTTTTCGCCATTGTGTTGTATTAATGCGGGAAAATCAAAAAAGGGTTATAAAAAATCCAGCCGATGTTATCCATCTGTCTTAATAATGTCGCCGATAATCCATCCTGTTTTTTTGGGGTAGAAATTAATTCTCCATCCGGTTCGTTAAGTTTTCCCGATATTTCAAGTATTTTCTTCTCATCATTATCATCATCAACAGCATTTTTTTTGTATCCAGAATGCCGTGAGAAGATTATACTTTTCTTCTCCTGTTGGAGCGCCTTAACGCTCCTCCTCGACGTGTGTGTATATACGAACCGGTTTGAAACGCGCACGAGGTCACCTTCGAAGTGGAACTAAAGACCAGCTGACGCGATCATGACGGAGGTTGCTTTCAAACTGGCGGGTGGAAGGCATACGATCAGTGTTTTCCCCTACTTCGTGTGACTCGTCACACTGCCTCTGGCCTCCCTCCACCAACAATTTTAAAAAAAAAAAGATAAAAGACTGACAAGATTATCTATAAAGCAGAGCATCAGAGCGGTATTAGTGGGAGAAACCTTATGGGGGACATACTAGACCAGAAGGGAAACGGTAGACTTGCGGTCATATAATTTACGACCTCTAAAATATGCTTCAAACTTTTCTTACATTCATATTCTCAAGGCTTGCTTTTAACATATTGTGAACAAGTTGAGAGGTGTTTTGGAATGAGAGATGCTATTTCCTCATGCACACAAAGTTTTGAACCTTGGCCGAGTTGTAGGATTGTTTACTTAGGTGATAATGCTGATGGGCGATCGTGTTGCTGATGCGTCAGCATCTTTCGTACACAAAATATCTTTCGTTTAACGACAAAAGAAAAATGCAACGATAAAATGTAATCTAATCTTAAAAACTCGACAGATAGGATACGTTTTCAAACTTCCTTGCAATTTTACAAGGACATACACACAAAAAAAACCTGGTAAATTTGATTTTTTTTACTATTTCCTGTAGTTACAGAAGGGGATCGTAACATTATTTAGTAAAAAGAACTATAAAAAAACAGTCCAACTGGAAAATGTAGTAATAAATACCTTTTTTACAGCAAATTTAACTATTAAAACAGTTATCTAAACTATTTGTTGTTAGTCATACTAACTGCTTCATTTAGTTGTAGTAACTAAATTTGCATAGTTCCTAATAGGCACCCGTAACAAATTGTAGTTAAAACATACTGTATAAATAGTTAAAATTAACTATTTAAAGTAGTTTCAAATTATTTATTTGTTTTTTTATTATTGAGGTCCATTTTTTTATTTTTTCTACCTACCTTACTTTTATTTATATATACTTGATATATTTAATTTTTTTAATTCCTATAGACCTAACAGAAAAATTCCCAAACGCCGGGGATTGAACGCACGACCCTAACATTCGCAAACCAATAGCCTAACCACCTAACCACGCTCGCACGCTACGATGACTGGCATTGTACTTGAGGACATTCTTCTCATATTCAGTCATAGTAACTACTCCATTTAGTTGCAGTAACTAATTTTTCCAGCTCAAAGACTTAGTTGAAATATAGCCAGTATATAATTTTAAATAACTCGACAATAGTGCAGTAGTTAAAAGTACTGTTAAAAATAGTTATTTTCAGAATTTCTGCGTAGTAAAATTATCCACTTTTTACTAGTTACCAAAAAAAAAATTGAAACTTACTATTTTTCATATAGTAAAAAGAACAGCTGAAAATTATGTTACTTTTATGACTTTTGTATATAGTTAAAAAGAACTGTTTCTTACCATCATAGAAATAAATTATCAAAAGCTAGTAAGAATTGGTTCTTTTAACTATACTTTGATCATAAAAATAACAACTTCCAGCAATTTTTTTTACTGTATGAATAAACAGTAAATTTTAATTTATTTTGCAAAGTAGCAACAATTCGCCCGCTAAAGCGCGCGGCTAACTTTTTAGGATAAAATTAGCAATTTTAAAAATAATAGAATTTAAAAATTTGTAATTCAAATTTTTGTTGAAAACACTAAAAAAATCCAATTTTGGAAAAATGACAAATAATTGCAGAAATTCAATTATTTTCAAGAGAATGATAAAAGTCTTCTCATAAAATTCAATTATCTTTTAAATTTAAAAAAAAAATTTTGTCAAAATCACAATTATCTTTATAAAATAACAAAATTCTTCCCCGCAAAGTTCAATTATTTTCAAATCAATTTCAAATTCCAAAAAATAAGTATACGCAAAAAAAAAAAAAGTTATTGATGTTTTCGAAGAGGCGCATGATTACTCCCCAAATGTCATTTGACCGAACTGTCATTTTAACGAATTGCATTTATCCGAACTGTTATTTTAACGATATGTCACTTTTGCGAATCGCCATTTTTACGAATTGTCATTTTTACGAATCGTTATTGTTCCCAAACGTCATTTTTCCGAATTGTCATTTTTATGAAATATTATTTTTGCGAATCGACATTTTTACGAATTTCCACTTTTGCGAATTGTCATTTATGCGAACTGACATTTTTTCGAATTGTCATTTTTACGAAATGTCACTTTTGTGAATCGACATTTTTACGAATTGTGATTTATGCGAACTGTCATTTTTTCGAATTGTCATTTTTGCGAAAATTGCTATAGTAAATCTATATATTCATACAATTTTCGTAAAAATGACAATTCAAAAAAATGACAGTAAGCATTAATGACTTTTCACAAAAGTGAAAAAAATAGCGATTCGCAAAAATCACATTTTGTAAAAACGACAATTTGAAAAAATGGAATTTCGGAACAATAACTATTCGTAAAAATGACAATTCGCAACAGTGACATTTCGTGAAAATGACAATTCGAAAAAATGTCAGTTTGCATATTTATGATAATTCGAAAAAATGAGTTTTCGCAAAAGTGACAATTCGTAAAAATAGCGATTCGCATAAATGCCATTTCGTTAAAATGACAATTTGAAAAAATGACATTTCGGAACAATAACTATTCGTAAAAATGACAATTTGTAAAAATGATATTTCGCAAAAATGACATTTCGCAAAAGTGTCAATTTCTTCCTTTATTTTCCACAAAATTTAAAAAGTTTCATTTTCAATTAAAATTTGTAATTGACAAATAGAATAAAATATGTAATGTTTCTTTTCCAAAAGGAAAGAATGAGTTTCTGCAACAATATTGTTATTGAGAAATATTAATTATGCATAAAATGGATATATTTCCTATTTCTTAATAACAATTTTTTAGCAATTAACAATTTTCTATTTTTTATAAATAGAAAGGAAAAAAAATTTGCATAATTGATTTGTTAATCATAATTTTTTATTTATTTTCTAATTTCAAATATTGTTTTATTATAAATCACAGAAAAAAATATGTGTTAAATTTGTTGCGTGTACTTTTTAGATGGTGTGTTGTTTTAACACAATTTTTGTGTTATTTTAACCCCATTAAATATGTATATTAATTTAACAACCTCTAGTGTTAATTTAACACACTCTAGTGTTATTTTAACACCAATGAAGTGCTAAAATCACACAGTGTTGGTTAAAAATGTTGCGTGTTGTTTTAACACTACTTTTAGTGTTAAAATAACACTTCTTTTTTTTGTTTTTACCATTCACATTTTTTTCTGTGAATTACATGTAATATTACTATAAATTATGTGTAATTAATAGTAGATACCTTAATACAAAGTTACTTGGATAGTTCCAATTGATTGGAAATTTATGGTAGCTTCAATGGAACGGAATGTCTAGTACCTAATAGAAATGACAGTACCTAATATTAATTTATAAAACTCAGGACTTGAGTCACTTTTCCCAAAATAATATTACAAGAATGTTACATAGGAATAATAAAATAATGGAAAGTATATAAAATTCTTCCTTTACTATAAATTTTATGCTTTTCAATGTTTATATTGTTCATAACAAAACTAAGAGATCGTTTTACACAATGACACATAATTGATAAAGCAATATTGACGAGAAATAATTTATGAATGTAATAACACAATCTAGGATTCGTAACATAATGGAGCAATGCCAAGTTTTCAACAGGTTGCTACAAGTTATAACGCATTTTATGTCAGTTTATTTTATGACTATACATACACAAAGCCCACAGCGATGACATACAATTCTTTATTTCCATACTGCTAAATTTTGGTTAAAAACGCAACAAATATTTGTTAAATATAAGAGAGAGCATTATTTCACTAAAAAAAGAAACCTTATATAGCTGTTTAAAACGATTTGACCTCTTTGTCTTCTTTTGTTAGTCATGTTGACTAATTGTTCGCGGGAGCATTATTATGAATCAATGTAACTTACGAACAGAAATGGAAAAAACATTAAATCTGAAATATTATTCAGGCTAATTTTTTTAAACTTCGCCATTTATTTTAAGCCAATGTTTAATTTATAGTTTTAAAGAAAAATGCTCTCTTATTTGACTCGACTGGTTATATTTTTGTATAACTATTTGGTCCGTAAATGATGGTCCGTATTATTTCATTTTTGGTCCGTAAAGTCCGTATTTTTATTCAAGCCCTGTTCATATAGCGTGCGAATTATAGTGTTAGTTATGCGACAATGTTAGAATTAAGATTGTAAGACATGTAGAAATAATTAAATAAAGAGAATCCAAGGCTCGGATTGTGCGACTTTTTCGACTTTTTTCGACTGTTTTTGTGAAAAAATGCGACTAATCGACTTTTTCGAGATTTTTTTAGTAAAATGAGAATAAAATTAAAAATTTTTTTTTAAATTTAAAGGAAAAAGTTTGAGTCAACAAAATTTTCTGTTACATTTATTTACAAATTTTTTTTTCAAATTTTTTGAAAACATCAATAACTTCTTTTTTAAATAAATATTTAATTATTATTTTTTTCATAGGAATTGAAATTCTGCAAAAGATTCAAATTCAAACCTTTTTGAAATTAAACAACTTATAAAAAATTGTTATAAAACATGAAGAAATCGATCACTCCGAGTCTTCGACTCGGAGCAATCAATGTCTTCATGTTTTATAATAATTAAAGATGACCGAGTGATAAAATCATTATTTTATATTACAAGACTTTATAAAAAAATTTTTTTTATCATTTTTCATGAAAATAATTGAATTATTGAGAAGAAATTTATAAAACATTAGTAATTGAATTTTGCAGAAGAATATTGATATTTACAAAGATAATTAAAATTTAAAATTAGAATTTAAAAAAAAATTTTGAAAATAATTGAATTTCAATGAAGAATTTTCTTACTTTTGAAGATAATTGAATTTTGCAAAAAAATTTTATCAGAACTTTTGAAAATAATAAAATTTCCATGATGAAGTTTGTTATTCATAAAGATAATAAAAATTTTTGAATTTAAATGAATTTCTGCGAAGAATTTTATTATTTTTGAAAATAATTGAATTTATAGGATGAATTTTATTATTTATAAAGATAATTGAAATTTTT